AGTGCACATAAAACATTGTCAGAATATCCATCACGAAAAATCAGCACGTTGCTTACTGATAATACTTCTATCGTCAGTACGTCCAGTGTGTGTGACAGATCTCATAGTGACGGCTTATGAATAAACGGTTATTACATGTAGGCCTACAGCGAATATTATTTTGCGAGCGAACAGTAGGCCGGACGCTACTCTTGTCAAGTCGCCCTTACCCATAACGCAGGATTTTACTTCATCAAAGCGCCATTAAAGAGAAACTCTATATAATACTTTTAAAAAAAGCCAAAGTAAATAAAAAATAACCCTGTGCTTAACTAATTGAACACTACGTCGTGAAGATGCATGCGGGGATTGGATGTGAAATCCACGTATATTTTACCCCGGCACTAGTTGATGGTGATTCAGCTTCACGCCTTGGCCGCTTTACCACCGCGGAAAAAAAAAAACCCGTTGACCACTGGATAAGAGGTTGGATGAGCCCCAAAGCCGGCCTCAGGAAAAAATGGCCGTACGGTGTTTGACCGATCTGACACTAAAATCGCGAGTTCGGGCTCTGTTTAGAGCGTTGTCTTGCGTTGCCTGTGTTGATGGAGGCCTGCTGACTGCCAGAAAGAGCCATAGTTCCAGAACCAGTTCTGAATCAAACAGAGCAGAGGGCCGAATCGGTGAAATGTAAAGAAGAAAAACGGATGCACTATGTCGCAGCATCAATTTAACCAGTTGAAGCCCAGTGGTCACTATATGTACCAACTGCTTTAACATACCAAGACGCTGCATTCTGCCCACAGAGTGTATCTGTGTGTTCCGTACGGTTCTCACAGTAAACAGTGGCTGTTTCCCTAAACAGCATTAACCGGTTGGGCTCTGTAGCGGTGACGTAATGTGTTTCCTGTGAGGTACGGACTGAATTCATACATGTCATAAGAAATTCAGTGTTCAAATCGTTAAATTACCTTGTCTGTATCATCTTGTTTGTAAAGGAGATGATGCTGATGGCGAGGCACAAGGAACTAATCGCCTGCTTTCCCTTTATACAACATAGAAAACGACGCCTCCACACATTTCCTCATTGCCGTGGGAATGTGTATGCTAAGCCGTTGCCTAGCAACATACACATGAAAACAAACTGGTACCAGGCATTTATGACGTACCCGTTCAGATTGACTTGGGTGTTGCATATATACATATTTAGTTTTATAAAGACTGGATCAGGCATTCAAAAGTTGGTAAGGGGGACATACAGACATAGACAGGGAGAGGAGACTGTGTAAGACTATTTTAGGAAGGTAGGCTAAAAATTTACATGAAATTTGCTGGTTTCGTTCAGTTCTCTTCTTGTTACTAGGAGACCCAGAGGGGTGATAGGAGGAGGAGGGAGAGGCAAGTTCTGCAGTTGCAAACTGATGCCTCGCTTCTGGTCAATGTTTCCTTCGGAGACGCGTAACTCCTGCCCTGGCCCATCCTATGCGCGTAATGTAAAGGTTAGTCACCTTGCTTTCTGACGCTCTTGTAGATGTGCAGAAGTACTGAAACGGAGCTCTATCGTTACTTCTGCAAAACATCACTCGTATATATGTACATCCTCCAAGTGTGTGAAGACTAGAAAATGTGATTTTCCGGATTTCAGATCAAAAGATTTCGCAGACTTTTTGCCCATTAATCACTGTCCAGGAAGATTTGGCCAGCATATGTGGATCTGGACAATTTTTCTCTCTCTGTCTGCTTTCCTCCCAGATATAAACCCAGCCTCCACGAATGTCGGTTTAACAAGAGCGTGGAAACATTCCCATTTAATCTAAGTACGTTTACCCTTCGAGTTACAAAATAGAAAAGCTCTAATATTATCATTACCCGTGCTGCTTCCGCAAGGAATAATCGGAATAATGAACTGTCAAGAAAATGTTTACGGAAGTAGATTTTACACAGAGGCGAGCCTTGCAGTCACTAAATATATCGAGAAACAAATGCAAGGTCTGAGATATCAGCAAGAACGTTCTTATATCCCAAGAATAAAGCATTGACCTCCGTTGCCAGGCGCCCAGGTTTGAGATCCGGAAGGAACAAATTGGTGCCTCTGACCAACCTCCGTCCTCTGGCAGAACGTCAGTAAATACAAAAACGTTACACCCTCGGTCTTGACGACCGAGGGGTCAGAGTTCGAGTTCCGATAGGGTCAAGAATTTTCTCTACTCCACGTCGTCCAGACCGGCTTTGGGTTCCACAGAACCTCCTATCTAATGGTTACCGGGGGCTCTTTCCCCTTGGGTAAATAGGCCAGGGCGTGAAGCTGACCACTCATCTCCAGCTAGTGCCGAGATAAAGAAATTGGATTTATACATCCATATAAGCCTTCATGGCGTAGTGCTTAAAGCGTTAAGCAGAGGGACAGCTGTACCTTTACACTCTCGGTCTGCGACCTTTCGAAATGAGAGCCCGAATGTCACACTGATATATTGCAGCAGATAAAGCAATATCTTTCTATACTTTAACCTGAGGATTTCAACAGAGGAGGTTATGAGATAAAAGTCCGAGTTCAATGGTGGAAATTTTTCGCCGACTTTAATCTACTTCTTGGAGAATGAACTTTTAGCCTACTTTCCTTATTTTGGAAAATGAAAATAGGCTTATCTGTGTATCGNATCGGCCTTCGGTACCCGATGCTTCCCCCATCTACCAGAGGCATTGGAAACTACTTGGGCGGGAAACTTGCCTAATTTTGCTCAGAGGTCTCCTAAAGAGATGAGGATCTTTTACGTGCCGTAAAGCTACGACAAGGGACCCATGGCTTAAAGTCCCTCCCGGAGGACTTGTTCCTTGAATTTTTCCGCCCTTAAAAATTCCACGACCTCCGCCGGGTTAGAATCCGCGTACCTTGAGTCATTAGATGGGAACGTTATCCCTAGACTACGGAGGCCGCTTTATCCCCCCTAACTCCTGAAAGATGAGACAGTGGAGCCAGAAGAGACGGACAATAACGTACAAACAAACATACATGTGACATGATGCCTGAAAGCCGGAATAGTGCAGTTAGAGAAAACCTGCGGGGAAGGTCACTGTTAGGCAACGGCAAGGTAATCATGTATTCTAACTCTAAGATTTCTGCGTTCTGCAACTAACTTCTAACCACAGTCGGTCGAGTAAATCTCTTCTGGTCTTCGCCAGCACAGTCATATTTTGTTACGAGTCCCGCAGGACTCACGATCATATTTCGCTATCTCGCGACTCTGAACCACTGGTCGGGTCGGATAAATTTCTGCTGGCCTTCGCCAGGACTGTCATTCTTGGTGCTGAGTTCCTCGGGGCTCGTCGCCATATTTTTCTGTCTCACGGCTATGGGAGTCTGGACCACAGTCTGGTTTACCGGTAGTGATCTAGACTTGTATTCGGGTGGTGCTCGGTTTGAATCTCGCCCGGGGCACCTGTTACCTTGACTGAAGCCTTGCAATCAAATGACGGGATACTAGCTCTGTCAGGTTATTGTCGTTTCCTTGCAGATCCTTTACAATTCATCAGTCATCTTAATATTCGACGCTGTATAGTGAAGGATTCTGTCAGCCCCGTAAAATAACCACATAAACTCACACTTCTTATGTAATGTACACTTGATTACAGGTCAAACCCTGTGCTGGCAGCAGAGTTTTGTTTCCTGTACCTCTGTCCAGCCAATCAGCTCTTCCCTCACGCAAAGCACGGCTCCCCCGTCATTTTTCCAAATACAGTACCCCCTCCCCCTTGTCGTCAAAATGTTTTCAGTTCAATCACCGTCACTTCAGTTCCTACAGTTGCTGAAACGTCATTACATCATTCTGACGTCAGCACAGTGCAGTGCAGCGCAGCGCAGCGGGACGGGCAGCACAAACTCGCGCTCTTCACTCAGAGTGCCCCGATGCGACGCATGTCTTTAAACGGGCAAACGGTAGAACCTGAGGACGACCATACACATCGTGAAGTTTCAGACTTTAATTTTGAATTCAGTGCTGAACTAACTCCAAGGAACAAGTCTTTCTTCGGGGGGGAGGTGGGACAACCGTCTCTGATTTAGTTGACAAATTCCAAATTCCACACTTTTTTGTGGAACCTCATGCATCAATATTATATCCACATGCTACAAGCCGGAAGGTCGCGGGTTCAAGACCCGATGAGGTCATTGGATTTTTTTCAATTAACCTAATCCTTCCGGCCGCACTATGGCCCTGGGGTTCACTCAGCCTCTAACAGAAATGAGTACCAGGAATTAATTAAATAATTTCCCTGGGAAGTAAAATGCGGCCGGCGCCTAAGGCTGACAACCTCACCGCCATCTTTGAGCCGATTGTCTAGATAATGTGGGAGCCTCAATGTCTCACAACGCCATGAGCCTCCACGGCCTGTTACAGGGATAGCTTTACTTTTTTTTACAGTTCTATTTTGAGCCAGATGAATCCATTTTACACTTTCGCAGCTTATTCGTTTTAATATTATTCTCCCATCCACACTTATGTCGCACAAGCAACGTCTTTTATTTAGGCTTCCTAGCTAAAATTGCATATACTTTTCATCCGCCATATTTGCTGCACATAGCCCTCCACGCCTTACCTCCTCCAGTTTGTGATATTCGCGGTGCGTTAGAGATGAATGGGAGGAAGTGAGAGGGGACTGTAGAAAACTACGTAACGCGGAGTTTCATAACTTGTACTCCCCGCCTCGTGTTATTAGGATGAGATGGGTCATTCACGTAGAGAGAGGAGAGAAATACATGCAAATTTTTGGAATTAAATCCTTAAGAAAATGTTCTTCTTGAAAGATGCAGGCATGAATTGGAGGATAATATTAAATGGATCTCAGAGAAGTAGAATGAAATTTTGAGGACTGGATTCATCTGATTCAGGAAAGGGGAAATTGTGGGCTCTTGTGTATACGGTAATAAACCATCGAGTTCCATCAAATATGGGGATATTGAGCGACAATTAGCTTCTCAAGAAATATTTTGCTCCACTTGAATAAAATTTTAACCAAATTCTTACCTGGAAGACGAGGCAGAAAGACACCCACTGATAGAAGCGATAGACTTTGATATCGTCTGCACTTCCTCTCGTGCCGCTCACTCCAGGGAACGGAACCTCCACGCCAACTTTCTTGAGGAAGGCGCTGGTCACGGTGTAGGTGGAGTGGATCCAGCAGAACGTGTCCAGAACCTCGTCCGGTTGCCCGGACAATTGATGCAAGCACCTGATAGGTTTTCCGACATACTGATTGGCAGCTAAGATGACTGTGAATACCAGGATAGTGCAGAAAGTTGCCTGGTAATGCAACTTAAATATCGTCGAATCTGTGTTCACTCTCCGAGCCTTGAACGCGGTAGCTACTCCCTTCACGAGGTCCCACATGACTGTTCCGCTTGTCTGCACGCGATTCTCTTATTGAATTCTAAATGCGCCTGTTTCAGTTCATGATCTCTCAATTGTATTTAAATTGCCGTTCGTCTTCCGTCCTCGCAGTGGCTTGTAAACCGTGTGTTCAGAATATGGCTGGATCTGTAGAATGCATTGAGTTTACAGCCCCATTCCGTATGTTGCATTAAGACGCTCGAAGCGCCGTGTGCATTTCTGCTGTATCTATCCGCTTAAGGACGCCGGTGTGTACCTAACCGGAGCGGAGCGAATGCCTAGTGTGAGGTAAGATGATTCGGGCAGATTATTTATCAAGTACTGTACACTATCTCAGACATTTCGTCATGTTATTACGTGAGCAAGACGCAGAGATATAAGTAAAGTTCGGATTATGCTCACTTAAGCACAATGCCATAAAGATATATTGCGGCGTGGAGGAATAGCTCCACACCCTTTTAACCTCAGTATTAAATTGCGATAAATGGTCAGTTTCACACTCCGCCTGCTTGACCTTTGTGGAATGCGCTGGCGGTACGCTTTGTGGACACCAGGGCGGATTCGAAGGCCGAGGATAAAAGGGACTTATTTTGCACCTTCCTGGAATCAAACCACAAGCCCGCTGTTGTCCAGCCGGTAGGCTAGTCATTATACTGACTGAGGTAAACCCGGTTCTGTGTCAAGTAAAACGTGTTGATTTAAGTGATGAAATTTAATGTACATTTCTACAAAATCTTATTTTATTTAAAATATTTTAAAACATGTTCTTAAGATAAAAGAAAATAATATTTTTATATGTATTTACATATTTCACTTTATCAAATGTTGGTCCAGAGAAAGCAATACAATAGTAATACAGATGCAGATCTGTATAATAGAAAAGGAATACACTAGAATTAGTTATAAACAACATACGTAGCAGCTAAAGTAAATATATATGTTAACTAAACTTATGTCTTATGAAATGCAATGCTTTATGTGTTATCGAAACTGATCCATCAGTGGATGTTTCCTTGCTGGTTACAAAAACCAATATGTATAATTATACATAAACAATATGTTGTATACACATATTCATAACATATTTTCCGTGATTTTACTTGGCAGACAACTTATTAACAAAGGACACACACACATATGTAATATTTCAGTTTTGTTTCCCATAGTCCTGATAATTATCAATTGTAAAAGTAAAAAATAAAAAATTCATATTTTAAAAACGATCATAAAATAAAATACAGGATGTTCATTAAGACTTTTGAATATTTAATTGAAAAATTATATTATTAACTTATTTAAAAGCAGCTTTTATGTCCTTTTGACGGATATATGGGACAGTCCTAAGCAAATAGTAATAACAACAATAGGTAATGGATATATGCTCTTAGTGAAGAACTCCATGGCTGTGTTTAATGGTTTGCTTCTTGTTTTCTTGTGGCGCTGATGCCTTCTTTTTTGTCTACACCAATTTAATCTGTAAGAATAAATTCAAAACTCCGAACGTTTCTGTAAATTACTGATAATTCTTCTTTTATTATACAGCGTTTACAATTGTCACAATTGCTGAATACGCTAAACTTATTTCGAGTTTGAATAAGTAATTTTTATCCTCTTATATTTTTTAGTCCAACAATTAAAATTTAAATTTCAAATTTCACTTGACTTCATGAACACCCTGTACGTCAAGAAGGAATTAGTGCAACGTTTTTGATAGTGGTAGTTCTAAAACTATCTTCTCATAATTTTCTTCATCACATTTACCTTTGTTGGCAGTTCTACGGCAGTTACAAATCGGTAGACAGATGTAAAATAATGCCATAATTACGGTTTCCGCCATCTTGACGCATTCGAGACTAACATCGCAGAGGATCGATATTTTTTGCGTGCGCATCTATATAAACTCTTGGTGACGTCAGACGCAGTTGGCGCACAAGTCTCACTTGCCACAGATTTCGGTAGCCTATGGGCCCCCAGGCTGGTGTCCTACCCTCTCAAAGAACCGAATACTCGAGTGCTTCACATAAACAATTTCGTAAGGTATATGGACCCGAAAAAATGATAAATGCATACGTGTGAAAAACACATTAATACTTGTCGCATGGAACGGGAAGAGAGTCTGCGCTAGACTGTACCGCGTCACGCAGGAAGAGCTGAAAATGAAATCAGTACGAAGTGAAACAGAAGCACATCAATAAAACTGGACAAACCGTTCTGAAGAAGGAACATGAGAATAGATACTGTAGTATGGACGCGAGCCGAGAAAGACCTTGAAAAAGATGGAATGAGTGCATGATGTCTTAACGTGCCTGCACCATGACGTGATGACGCCAGACGCCGCATAGGAGGCGCCAACCTGCTCAGCATGAGAACGGAACAGATCTTGAAGTTGGCGCTGAATTTTGTTTCAATTCATTGAAACTGACGTCAGCATCTGACGTAAATAGCGTCGAAGGGTAAATCGACTGATGAATAATAAATTGGAAGGAAGTGTCCCGGAATTTGCCTCGAGGTACTGAGGAAAGCCACGAAAATCTTCAGTCAAGATGGCCGGTTCCCCAGCAGAGATTCGAGAGGAGAACATCCGGAAAAGGAACCTAGGAAGTTACCGCCGTGCTAACCATTTCGTTTAACGATGAATTATGTTTTGTCGTCAGGTGAAAGGGGTGGGCTTAGCGGTAGCGTCCCAAACGCGAATGATGGAGGTGATCGGTTCGAACCCCGGCCGGGGTACCTGTTATTCCTACTATTCGCGTAATTAACTGTCCGTGTGTCAGTGTCACGCTATAACGTCAGCAATGTCTGGGGTTAATGAGGAGCTTCGTAACTTGTACTCTTCTCCATGTATAATTAGCATGATCAAATCAAGGAGGGTGAGATGGGCAGGGCATGTAGCAAGAAATGGAGAAGAGGAATGCATATAGGATACTGGTGAGAAAGCCAGAAGGAAAGAAACCACTGCTAAGACAAAGATGCAGGTGGGTGGACAATATTAAAACGAATCTTAGAGAGATAGGATGGGATGATGTGGACTGGATTTATCTGGCTCAGGATATGGACCAGTGGAGGGCTCTTGTGAACACGGTAATGAACCTTCGGGTTCCATAAAATGCTGGGAAGTTCTTGAATAGCTGCACAACTGGTGACTTCTCTAAAAGGACTCAGCTCCATGCGTGAGTGAGTGAAGGAATGACTGGGATATCCCGTTGTTTTGTCAAGACGCTTTTTGCGGACTCGTCCCATTCTTTTCGTCACAGTTCACATTGTTGACTTTGATATGACGTCACAGACTCACCAAAACGGCATGTCAAGCATTCCTGTGCTGTTTCGTTCATGAGAAAGACGTTAGCAGGATGTCACTTAATGCATACGCGGTCAAGATGTTCTCTACTTCTTTCAGAAAATAGGAAGAGCAACACCGTATTAACCTCTTAAAGCCCAGTGGTTACTATATGTACCACCTGCTTTACCACATAACTCCGTATGGTTCTCACAATATACAGCGGCTGTTTCCCTAAACAGCATTAACCGGTTGGTCTCTGTAGCGGAGACGTAATATTTCGAATCTCGTTGGTTACACCGTCTATCCTCACTAAGACTTTCCTTGGCTTTCCCGAGTACCTCCATGTAAATGTCTGGATGGAACGTCATTAGGCAACGACCACTTCCAAAGACTTTCTAACCCATCATTCGACTCTATGTTGCATTGCTACCAAAGAGACTAATTCTCGTCCCTGGTGGGTTGTCTGCCCCTAAGCCATTCTGTCCCACTACTGAGTCACGTGACAATCAGAACGGGGCCAAAATGCGCATGCTCGTACGGTCTAACATGAAGTCTCCTCTTTCACGTGAGGCAAGAAGTTGGGTTTTGCGCTTCGCCCCTTTGAAGCGTGAGAAAGTGGACGTGGAAAGCAATGGGAGAGGCATCGCTCTGTCAGACGTTTCGGCCTCTCGTGCTTCTGATAAATGTGATACGAGTGTGAAGACTTTAGAATAGTTAGAAGCAGTGGCTAGAGAAAAGGGTCGCAAATTTTGATTCATTGTAAATTATAAAATTCGAGTAATTTGGAGGCGTCCACAGTAATTCCGACGAATTCATACGGGGAACGCTGCATCAGCGACCTCAAAGTTGTGAACTGTCCCAGCATCTGCATGCAGGCAGGGTAAGCTTCATAGAGATAATGTTCACAAATTCAGCTTCTGCTTCTCAGTAAGCACAATACATCTCCAGCACAAGACAAATTAGTTAATGCCATTTAGGGAAACACGTAGCCCTGAGTGCTCTGAGAATATAAGTAAACTCTGTAGATAAAAAGGAGGGTTTTGGGATGTTAAAGCAGGTGGTGCTTATACTTACCATTGTGCTTTAAAGGATTAAACAGAGATGATAAAAGTGATTACGCAAATTCTCCAGTGGTTCAAAGAAAATCTGCTTCAACATGTTGGTGACGCAAGAGAATATCCTCTTTGTAAACGAATGTTTTAAGGCAAGTTCATAATTTTGTTCCAACTATGTTACTTGGTCCAACTCCATTTGGCCAAAATTTTTTCACATGTATAACAGAACACATAATAACACTGTCAGTGATTAATGTCATGTCTTCTTCTGAATAAATTATATCTTCAAGTCTGTATTCATTGCTACTTCCATCTGTTGATTCGTATGTTATATGTGTTGTGTCAGGTGCCCTCAGTAGATATAACACTCCACTATTAGGAGCTCTTCCAGTATAACCCAGATCTTTCTTGGAATTAGAAAAAATCCAAACTGCGCATGTGCAGACACGTGAAGGTTCAACTTCCGAGCGATCTGGGTGATTTGGTTCCTAGTTCAAGAAATACCCAATCAGAAAGAACATGAATTACTTTAGAACTATTTTAAAGTGGGTCAAATCATTAGAATTACCACTTTTAAATCACAAACCAATGTATTTAAACACGTAAAATATGCCGGAAGCAGCGTTATCAGCGCGACTTGAAGCACAGAGCAAATGATGCTCGAGATGGTTCAAGTGCGTATAGCAACAGGCGTTTGAACGGCTGTTGTACTGTGATGTGGAAAGCAAATGGAAAAACTACCACATTATCACTTTTCCTGGATAGTCTCTTTCCAAAAACAGAGATACCATGTATGTGAGATGTTTTCTCTGGAGACAAAACAAACCGGAGGGGCGGATAGAAGTGACCAGAAGACGAGGAAGAAGACGTAAGAAGATGCTGGATGTCTTTGGGGACAGAAGAGGATACTGTCATTTGAAGGAGAAAGCTCTAGATCGCATTAAGTGTAGGAACTGTTTTGGAAGAGACTGTGGACCTGTCGTCTGACAGATTACTGATGAATGAATGAATGAATGAATGAAAATATCCCGTGCCTTATGACAATCCCATGAAGACATACAGAAAGAGTGAAATAACATTTCTACGGAGTCCTAACATCGGCACACAGACGGCCTGTCAGCGCTCTTCTTACTTAACCCATATGGAAAGAGATTTCCGTGTCCGTCGGTCAGTGGCCTGGGAGAACTATAGGACACGATAGGAAATGAAATAATTCGTGTCTCTACCGGAAATCGAACCTAGGTCGTTCAAACCCTCGTAATTCACTTTACTGGCTGCCATGTCTCGGCTCCCAATATTTAGATTCATCTGAATGCTTCTGTAATTTCCTCTAGAGAACCTTACGAAATAGTTAATTACCAAAGAAAATCATAACATGAAAGCAGAGCTACAGACGGTGCAGAAGCAGATCAACTATAAAGTCGAAATAGAAGGGTCAAATGATGGACTGGCGCATAAGTAACGCCCGAAAAGGCATTTTTTATTTTCTGTTTATGTCATTTAGACAGCGTTCTGACTTGAGCACTGTGAATTAAACGGAGCTTAAAATAACCGAGACATTAAAGAGGTCTTAAAACAAGTTGTTTTGCGTTCTTGTGATTGTGACAACGGATGGAGACAAGGAGTACTTCCGGAGTACGGGGTGGGCTCCATCCGTGCTCATAATTAACGTCTCATATTTGCCTAGTTACGCTGTTCACACTTTGTGGTATTGCATGAACTCATTTGACTGCTACCTCCACTTTTGCTGAGCCTGTCAACCCTACTAGCTCGAGTGGAAATATAAATGAACTGACAGCACAACCTGTACATTACTTACTTCGTACCACTTGGAAAATTGTCTTCATGACAATTTCCAGGTTTTCTGTCGTACAGTGCCCCCAGCAGGAACCAAATTTTTGGAATTCCTTCAGAAATGAACATAATGCTCTTGTTCTAACGAATTTACATGGAGAATAATACATGAAGAAATCGTTATGCTTCTGTAAGCTCACCTCTGGCACCTCTGTACTGGCTAACTCTGTGAGCCAGTTCGTGCATGACGTCACGGAATATCATTGAGTCCACATTCTCGCCAAGCATATAGAAAAGGAACCAGTCGCCCATCTTGGAATATCTCACAATTGTCCGAATATCATCGGAGCGAATAAGTCTGAAGCGTATCCGGAGCAGGTACACTCTCATTCTGGGGCTCATGATGATGACCACGCGGTAGAGAACGCACCCGATGGTTAGCACCCCCAGAATTAGGAACCAGAACCACAGGAAGATGTAAATCTTCTCGTTGACGACGTTCAACGGGAGTATACACACGGCGTCATGACGCTCTACCTCGCCGGATACCCCGTACTTGTAGAAAGTGCACTTGGTCATCCTGGGGAAGATGTATATCATGGGGTCGACGCGGTCTTCCTGGTCACTCTCCATGAACTTCAGGACGTCGATGCCGAACATGAGGAATTCTCCGTCGAAGAAACGGTCCATCAGGAACATTTGACCTGTATCAAGGAAGATTATGATAACAACCAGACGCTTCACCCAAGGATTCATCTACTTCTGTACACAATACATAACGGCCTGAATGCAGAGATTTTCCTTTTTTTCTTACCTACAATGATGGCTTCGAACTCTCATATTTAGGAACACTACAATTAAAAGTCTGCGTTTCTTGTGAAAGTTTACCGGCAGCATTCTGATAACCTCGGAGTTTTTATATATACATATGTACACACTTCTCTTCGGATGGCCTCTAAGTCCGTGTATATATATATATACACATAACGACATGGCCAATTAACAACTCTTCCCTTCTTGCATATAATGTTTCAATAGTAACAAAATAAATAAACAAGAATCATTTAGGTTTTGACGTAAGGTCGAGTTTTTGGGTTCTTAGTGCGTGTGCTAATTTTTGTCATTTACTGTACCTCCAATTGGATATAAGAAAAGCGGCTAAGGTCCACTTTAGATTATGATTAACCCATGTAAACCCTTAAGAACACCAACCACAATTTAAGGACTCGTCGTACACTTATTAATAAAGTTTTTATCTTACTTGGTATATCTATGAAATACATTTAGTCAGTACAATTGACTGTCAGCTGTTTAACAGTTTTAATAATGTACTTGTCCCGCCGAAGGTCGCGGATTCCGTGTCAATTATAAATATCCCTTTCCAATCCCTGTAACTTATATCACTCTTCGGCCCACTGTCACTTCTCGATACCCCAATTCGCCTCTCATCACTTCGAAATCCCCCCCTTCCCGCCTCTCCCCTGTCGCCTCAAAATACCGTTGCTGGTGTATTGTGTTTTTATTGCTAGTGGGGTGGGACTAAGTCCCTTGTACTGCGGCCACTTCTGGCCTATTGTACCAGCCCCAGATGATAGGTGAGGGGGATTGTGGAGCAATTGGTGGAATGAAGATTGGCAGGGGAAACCGAAGTACTCGGAGAAAACCTGCCCCAGCGCCACTTTTTCCACCACAAATCCCACTTGACCAAACCCGGGATCGGGAAGCCAGCGACTAACCGCTTGAGCTAGGGCGCGCCCTCGGTGTATTGTTACTTCAAGATATCCTTGTCCAATCTCCTGTCACTTCTGTCTGCATCACCCCATACGAGCTGGGATGCGACCTCACCTATGACGTTGACCAGAGCGAGCACCTCACACAGGTAGTAGCGGTACGCCCACCAGTTGTGGTAGGTTAGGTTGTCGCACAGATACTCCAGAAGAAGCTTCTTCTTCTGCTTCTTCTCCACTTCTGAGATGATTCCAATGTCCAGGTCCATCATGAGAGCATGCAACTTGCCCCCTTCCCAGTTCTTCCATAGCCAACGGGGAGCGTAGAACAGGATAGCCTGCAACAGACGTACCAGTTACTAACCTCACATTGTGTCTTCCGCTGCTAAACGATGTGGAATGTGGTAGGACAGTAACACTCGAACCTCTCAAGTTCGCTGTCTGTAATAGTCAAATGAGAGAATGAATTTTTAAGTTATAATTTAATTGTTTACATGAATTGCATAACGGGGACCTGTGCCTGTCTTTCCGTTCACAGATTTCATTCCGCGCGACAGCTGTTGGCCGAATTCAGTTGCGGTGCAACAGAACCCTCACTTCACATAAGAGTGTAGTTCATTACAGGATCCCACATTAGATAGCGTGTCCTCCATGTTGTTGTTGTTATTATTATTATGGGGCTCGCGGTAGCGTAGTTGGTGGAGGCACTATGCTACAAGCCGGAAGGTCTCGGGATCGAATCCCGATGAGGTCATTGTGATCCTTCAATTTACCAAATCCTTCCAGCCGCGCTATGGCCCTGGGGAAGCGGCCTCTAGGGGTAACGTTCCCACCTCATGACTCAAGGTACGCGGGTTCAAACCCGGCGGAGGTCGTGGAATTTTTAAGGGCGGAAAAATTCAGGGAACAAGTCTTCCGGGAGGGACTTTAAGCCGTGGGTCCCGTGTCGTAGATTTACGGCACGTAAAAGATCCTCATGTCTCTAGGAGACCTCTCAGCAAAATTAGGTAAAAAGTTTCCACCCAAGTAGTTTCCAACGCCTCCGGTAGATGGGGAAGTATCGAGGTACCAGTGCCAGTAGAGGGGCTGAACTCGCTGGCTGAACGGGGCTGATAGCGAGCAAAAGTACCGGAAGGGTATGGCGACTGGTCGAATATCAAAGAGGGACCTACAATAGATCAACAACTGGTCGCGGTGCATGGGGAAACACACCCCCTCCAATAATGAATGAATGAATGAAGGAATGGCCCTGGGGTCGACTCAGCCTCTAACAGAAATGAGTACCAGGAATATTCTTGGGGGTAAAGGGCGGCCGACAAGTAGGGCTGACAACCTCACCGCCGTCTGTGAGCCGACTGTCTAGATAATGTGGGAACCTCAACATCTCACAACCCTATGGGCCTCCACGGCCTCTTACAGGGATAGCGTTACTTTTTACTTTATTATTATTATTATTATTATTATTATTATTAAGGATTGTAAGAGATCAAGATATATGACGCTGGAGGAAGGGATATCCTCCAGTGGCATAACATTCATACCGAAATTAATTACAATTGGCCAACTAATTCAAGAGTCCCAAAGGGGATACAAAGAACAGAGGATGGTGATCCAGCAAGTGTATAGCCTTCCCCTAAAACGAGGAAGTTAGGGTAAAGGTCTGTGCATCTGCTAATAAAAAACTATAGGGACGTATCTCATCTCGCGCCAATAGTTTTTGGGTCCCTTTATGTGATATCCTGGCAAATTAAAAAAAAATAAGATCCGTCAAGTGTTATTATAATGATGCATAGCTGTATGAAGTCCGAATGATGATTTATACAATATAAGCCGTTTCAAGCCACCGAGCCCCACGGGGGGACCAAGAAATGTATATTTCAGGATTCCACTGAAAGTCTATTTCTCGCCTTATCGACGCCCTGTTTATTGTCCTGGCTTGTATACATGTGAGGAAAATGATCCCCATTGAACTATCTTCATGGGCTACATTGAATTACGTGGTTAAAGTTTAGATCTTCTCCGATGTTTTCTTTTTCGACAGTTGAAGTTTGTTGATCTGGAGTAGCACTGTTATTGTTCCCTCTAAAGATAGATGGCGTTCAGATAGTAGGCAGGATTGTTGCGGCTACTGTGATTTTCTTTGAAAGTTGTGTAATCAAAACTCATTGCTTCAGTTTTCCGTGGTACCTGCCAACACATTTCACTCAGCTGCTTGTGCGCTACTTAATCTGTTTTCACAAGATTATAAATAGCAGTTCAAGTGATTGTAGTACAATCGGCAGGGAAGAGTAACCCTTAAAAGACTGAATCTCTTCTAAATACTACTTATATATAACTCAGTCCGTATATCACAGGAAACATTACGTCTCCACTACAGAGTCCAACCGGTTACTGCTGTTTAGGGAAACAGCCGCTGTTTGCTGTGAGAACCACAAGGAACACACAGATACACTCTGTGAGCAGAATGCAGTATATATAAGAATTCAGTCCGTACCTCACAGGAAATATTACGTCTCCGCTACAGAGCCCAACCGGTTAATGCTGTTTAAGGAAACAGCCGCTGTTTATTGTGAGAACCGTACAGAACCCACAGATACACTCTGTGGGCAGAATGCAGTATATATAAGAATTTAGTCCGTACCTCACAGGAAACATTACGTCTCCACTACAGAGCCCAACCGGTTACTGCTGTTTAGGGAAACAGCCGCTGTTTACTGTGAGAACCACACGGAACACACAGATACACTCTGTGATAATAGTTTCTCACTTCTCACAGAGAGAGAGAGAGAAGTGGTGGTCGTAGTGATAGACACTACATTGGGGGGGAATAAACTTTATCTCCGATTTTGAAGGTTCCCAGGCAGTGCCCGCTTGTCCTTCTGGTAAATGATACACTCTGTAGGCAGAATGCAGTATATATAAGAATCCAGTCCGTACCTCACAGGAAACATTACGTCTCCGCTACAGAGCCCAACCGGTTACTGCTGTTTAGGGAAACAGCCGCTGTTTACTGTGAGAACCACACGGAACACACAGATACACTCTGTGATAATAGTTTCTCACTTCTCACAGAGAGAGAGAGAGAAGTGGTGGTCGTAGTGATAGACACTACATTGGGGGGGGGGGGAAGAAACTTTATCTCCGATTTTGAAGGTTCCCAGGCAGTGCCCGCTTGTCCTTCTGGTAAATGATACACTCTGTAGGCAGAATGCAGTATATATAAGAATCCAGTCCGTACCTCACAGGAAACACATTACGTCTCCGCTACAGAGCCCATCCGGTTAATGTTGTTTAGGGAAACAGTCGCTGTTTACTGTGAGAACCGTACGGAACACACAGATACACTCTGTGGGCAGAATGCAGAGTTTTGTTATGTTAAAGCTGGCGGTACATATAGTGACGACTGAGCTTTAGAGGGACAATGTGGATGGATAAAATCGTGGACTGTTTCAGCTAACTACGAAAACTTATTTATTTAGAGTTTATTTAACGACGCTGCCAGTAACTAATACTGCATCGCGTTGAATAGTGAACTGGAAAGCATTTGAAGGATTAAGACAATACCCGGAGACAGAAAGAGAATTTATGAAATTTCTCAATGTGGATAGTCAGTGATTGAGTAGAGATTCGAACCGGACGCCTCCTGAATACAGTTTACCCCTTGTACCGTATGCTTGATCTTCCTGGAGGGGGGAATATATGATAGAGTTTTAGATGTTAGTTAGTTAAATCTTGTTTACAGATAAATTTAAACATAGTGCAAAACCGTGGACCATGTTCTCCTAGTTAAAGTGTGATTCATTTTAATTATCCTGAAGCCCCAGAAAGAAGCCCCTTGTATCAACCCCCTCCATATCTCCCTCGAGCTGTTATGCTTCCCCTCTCAAGTGTATTGCGTCATTCCCTCATCCCCACCACCCATGGACTCCCTTACCGCAGACGCTACATAGTAGCTAACTTTCTCTGAGAACTGGCATTGCTAAGTTGCATGAAACTCCTCTGGGTTGTAGATGAATTATTTGTGCAAATAGACTGACAGAGAGATTGAGAGGCAACTGCAAAACTGGCGAGAAATTCAAGATAGTAACAAAATATTAATGTGTTCCTTTGATGCATGAAAGAAAATTTAAATACATAAAAACTTGGAAAGATAATTAGTTAAGGAAATTGATGAAAATCTTTTAATTGAAGGAGAGATAAAACTGGGGAGAGTAAATTAATAAGAGGGGGACGGGAAACCTGCAACTTAACTGCAGCGGAGTCCTTCAATAGCCTTTCAGTTACCAGTGCTCAAGAAATTCCCCGTCTGTTATAGAAGAGAAGGCTCATTACCGCGCTCACAACAACCCGTCCTGAGCCTGTACCCTCCGGCATTTTTAAGATCCATTGTAACATTCTCCAGATACTTGTTATTAATTTGTTGGCCGAAAACATAAATACCGTACACGGGAACGCATAAACTCTATCAGACGCTAATAAAAATGTTGATCTGGAATAAACTCAGAGAGAATTAATTACATATTCATGTCTCGTCACGGAATTCAGGACAAAATCATAATAAATGATAGCCAATAAATCTTTCGAAAGTGGAACGAGAGGACGAGGAAGTAAATAAATGCAAGCGGGAGAGGAAGAATAATAATAATAAAACTGAAACGGCAAGGGGGGGGCTGATAGTGGTCAGCGCTGAGGTCTCCGAGATGAGGAACTACCGCGTTGGCAGGGAACACTAGGTTATGCCTAGCGCTCCCGATGTGACGCCATGTTTCCTTTGAATAATTCTGTTTTCATAGACAGACGTACTGATAATTTCTTTGAAGCCTGCGCCGCGCTTTCCATTTATTCCTAGGTCTTCCTATATCTCTGTTACATCTGATAGCATACGTGGCTGTCATTCTGCCAACTCTGGATCCAAACATTATGCTGGCATGCTGTCCCTGGTTAAAATAATTAGTTCATGTAATCAATTTAATCTGCAATCTAATTCTTATGTCTTCATTGTAGACCCTCAATACGGGGTAAAACGGACGATTTACGTGGAAGTCATGTCTGTCTGTGTGTCTGTATGTGACCTAGTATGAGGTCCCAAAGCGTTCAGCAGATTTTCATAAATTTTGACACTCCAGAGTTGTTTGGGTTTTCCGATCTGCATCCATGTCAATCCATAGAGAACTTTTCCGTGTTTCCCATGAATCGTTTCACAGATTTTGTTGAAATGCGATGTGAGACACTTCCATTAAAAGTGGTTCGGCCATTCCGATTTTTCGATATCCCGGTCCGCAATGAAGCCCAGTTTAAATAAGTCCATAATTGGACTTTCCCGCTTACCCCAGAGGCT